CTCCTTAAATTCTCTGTACGATGGGCGTCTCGAGTTAGTCTCTCCGTAGAAATGCATGGAGAAGGAAATGAGTTCATGTAGGCAAACTGCTTAGAGCAGTATTCACTAAAGGCTATGTAAGTGTGATATTGTTTTAATTATCTTCTGGCTTTGCATTTTCAATTCCAAGAATGTGCCCAAAGCACTGGAAAATTGCACTAAAATGTGCATATAAGGACGTCCCTTGCAAAGTTGTTTAGAATAGACAAAAATAGGAAACCAAATAGATGTCCGCAAACAGGGGTTGAATAAACTGTCTGGACAACGAAGCACTAGGCAAGCATTACCGAGCACAATGTGGATGTCTACTTAGTGGTTTGGAAAGATGCTATATTTCCAAGAAAACCTTTAAAAGACAACATATGTGCCCCGCGGCGTGGCTCAGTGGTTGAGGAGATCACAGTTCGCTTCCCGGTCAGGGCACATGCCCGGGCTGTGGGCACCATCCGCAGTGTGGGGAGTGCAGGAGGCAGCCCATCGATGACTCTCTCTCATCATGTTCCTCTCTCCCTCTCCCTCTCCCTTCCTCTCTAACATCAATAAAAATATATATTAGGCCGAAACCGGTTTGGCTCAGTGGACTGAGACTGTCGGCCTGCGGACTGAAGGGTCCCAGGTTCGATTCCGGTCAAGGGCATGTACCTTAGTTGCTGGCACATCCCCAGTGGGGGGTGTGCAAGAGGCAGCTGATCGATGTTTCTCTCTCATCAATGTTTCTAACTCTCTGTCCTTCTCTCTTCCTCTCTGTAAAAAATCAATAAAAATATATATTTTTTAAATATATATTAGAAAAAGTCTTTGGAAGTCTGGACACCAAACAGAGGAGGACAGCTGAACGGCAGGACTATGACGTGTTCCTCACATGCTTTTTGCTCCTCTGTGTTTTCTGGTTTGTCTGTGATACATACACGTTTCCTGTCTCGTTTGAAAAGTAAAACCTGAGCGTAGAACTGTGAACGGCTCTCTGGTGAGTTAAGTGAACGGAACAGAGTTAAACGGTCAGTCTGCCTGCCCCTGAGCCGAGGCCGGGAGCGGTCGAGGGTCAGATGGTGGTGTGGTGGCCGTTTAACAGCGTAGCCGCCACCTTTTCACGGCCGTTGGCTAAAGATACGAGACTTGGGTCAGAGACAAAGGACGGCGTGTTCGTCACGGCCATCGCTGGCGCGTCGGCGGCGTCTGTGCCGGGGTCCAGCCTCCGCCCGGACAGAGCGTGCAGAGGGCCAGGTGGCACCGCACACAGGGGTGGGTGCCCGCAGAGGAGCCGGGAGCCGGGAGCCGGGAGCCGGAACCCTCTGGGAGGAGCAGTAAGCGCATCGGCCCAGCTCCGGAGGGAGCCGCTCCGTCTCCCAGGCTGTGCGTCACCAGCACCCTTCCCGCCCGTCTGGGCCGGCGTGGCTCCCGCACACGATGTGCAGACACCCGAGGCCCGGGGGGAGCCGGCTCCCCACAACCCCGGCTTCTCGAATGTTAACGGGCATGTGAGTCACCAGGCCTCTTGTTAAACGGCAGGGGCTGAGGCAGGAAGTCTGGGTGGGGCCCGAGAGCTGGCTCACGAGAGAGGTTCTAACCAGCTCCAGGCCACGTTGGTGCCGCTGGCCCCGGGCCCACACGCTGAGCGAGGCCTCGGGCAGCCCCTCGGTGCCCAGGCCTGGGCAGCGGCGGCTGCAGGCCAGAGCGCTGGCCAGGTGGGGAGGAGGGGGAAGAGGGGAGGATCCTGTGATTAAGTGGGGATGGCTGAGGGGGATGGAACCCTTCCTGAGCCCTCCTCAGTGCTGATCAGAGGGGATGTCGGGAAGTTGGAAGGCTGGACTTGACCATGAACAAGCACACAGCGTGGCTGGGAGCCTGAGAAGCTGTTTTCCCACCACCCAGGGCCTCCGGAGCCCCAGTGTGAGAGGTTCCTGCCCCCCAGGAAGCTCCTCTGCCCGCCACAGTTCCCAGAAACAGCTCCTTCCTCCAGCACCGCCCCACCTGCCTCACCGCGGCCTCTGTCTCTTCCTGTTGTGGTCCATCGCCGGGCGCAGGCAGCTCGGCTCCCACCGACCGGGAGAGCCGGCCGGAGGGGCCACAGCACAGTCACCCATTGCCCGTAGCTTCTGGGCCAGTCACCCCTCTGAGCCCCTTTCCTCCCGTCCGAGTGGACTCAGCACCTCCGCCTCGGAGACTGTGGTGGAGGCGGAAGGAAACCGGGAACGGTCAGTGCCCGACGCCGTGTGGGCCGGGAGGAGCTGCTCGGTGGGCTCTGCGGTCACCTGGGCAGGTGCCTGATCACCATTCCCTGCCAAGGCAGGTGGTGACCTTAAAGCAGATCTCGTACGAGGCGAGTGATTTGAGTAAGTCCCTCTTCTCTCTAAGCCTACACTGTAAAGTGGAGACAGCCCAGCTGGTGTGGCTCAGTGGTTGGGTGTTGACCTATGAACCCGGAGGTCACGTTCGATTCCCAGTCAGGGCACATGCCCAGGTTGAGGGCTCGATCCCCCGTATGGGGCGCCCAGGAGGCAGCCCATCAATGATTCTCTATCACGGATGTTCCCCCCACCCCCATTTCCCTTCCTCTCTGAAATCATTAAAAAATATATTTAAAAAAAAATAAAACAAGCCGAAACCGGTTTGGCTCAGTGGATAGAGCGTTGGCCTAGAGACTGAGGGGTCCAGGGTTCGATTCCGGTCAAGGGCATGTACCTTGGTTGCGGGCACGTCCCCAGGAGGGGGTGTGCAGGAGGCAATTGGTCGATGATTCTCTCTCATCGATGTTTCTAATTCTCTATCCCTCTCTCTTCCTCTCTGTAAAAAAATCAATATATTTAAAAAAATAAAATAAAACAAAATGGAGATAATTCTCAGGGAACTCAAGTGAGGAACGGATGAGAAAGAAGCCCTTTGTAAGGTGACCTGAAATGGTATCATTGCAAGGCAGGGGCAGGACACAAATCGCACACCGTGAAGAGATGTGTGACCCGCTCTGTCCAGCTCTGGGCACAGGGCATGGCGAGTAGAAACCACATGGTCTCACCTGGCACAGGGCCGCCAGCAGCCCCCCCTGCAGGCGCAGCATGGTTCCTGCAGATAAATGCAACCCCCGGAGCTCGGGCACTGGCGTCTGCGGGGCCTGGGGACCCGTGGCTTCTCACCAGCAGGCTGGCTGTGGGTTTGCCACGCTTCAGATCGAGGGCCAGGCAGCTCGCCGAGAGGCACAGCTGAGGGGGAGGGGTGGCCCGCGGCATGCTGGCTGCTGTGTAACAAAACTGCCCCAGGACGTAGTGGCTTCAAACTACTTTATTACCATCTCACAGGGACCCCAGGTCCTGGGGCGTTGGGTGAGGCCGGTGGTGTGTCTCCCATCTCTCCTCCTCAGGAGTGGATCCAGAGACATGGGAGATGGAACAGAGTGCGGGAACTCGGAGGGAAGGCGGGGGGGGGGGGGGGGGGGGGCTGTGGAAGGTAATCAACCAAAGACCTTCTGGCCCATGGACACAGGAAATGGGGTGGGGAGAGCCTGGGGTTGGGGGAAGGAGGGGCAGGTTGGAGGGGGGGTCAATGGGGGAATAAAGGGGACATGTGTGATACTTTCAACAATAGTTAATTTTATAAAAATAGTGTCCCTGGATTGGCTGTTGTGTGTGTGGGTGTTGTGTGTGTGTGTGCGCGCGTGTGTATTAATCCCCACAGGAGGATATTTTTCCCGTTGATTTTTAGAGGGTGGGAGGGGATGAGAGATGGGAAGGAAGGAGAGGGGGCAGAGAGAAGCATCCATGTGAGAGAGAGACATCGATTGGTTGCCTCCTGCGCACACCCCGACTAGTGGTCCGGAATCGAATCTAACAACCCCAGGTGTGTGCCCCTGACCTGGAATCAAACCCCTGAACCCTCTGATGCGCAGGCCAACGCTCTAACCACTGAGCAACACCGGCCCGGGCTTGCCTGCTTTCCCTTCCCCGTTCCTATCGATCTTTCCTTCACCTCCCCAATAATCTGCGTGCACCCGAGTCCTTGTCGCCGGGCCTGCTTCCGGGAGAACCCAAACGAGAGAACAGTGGCCCTGGCTCCATACGTGTGGAAGGGGAGCACGGCAACTCGGGACAGGGAGCCTCGCAGAGGCTTTTCAAAGCTTTGCTTAACATGCCATTGGGGGGGGGGGATGAGGGGAGGCTCATGTTTGTGAGAGGAGCAATAGTCACGTGGAGGCCTCTCGGCTGCACCTCCCGGGAATGAAGGCTGGAGCTTATCTTGCAGACCAGTAAGGGCAGGGCGTGTGCTTAATGACGAGAAAAGGTCTCTGGGCCGAAACCGGTTTGGCTCAGCGGATAGAGCGTCGGCCTGCGGACTGAAAGGTCCCAGGTTCGATTCCGGTCAAGGGCAGATACCTTGGTTGCGGGCACATCCCTGGTAGGAGGGTGTGCAGGAGGCAGCTGGTCGATGTTTCTCTCTCATCGATGTTTCTAGCTCTCTATCCCTCTCCCTTCCTCTCTGTAAAAAAATCAATAGAATATATTTTAAAAAAAACAAACAAACAAACAAAAGGAAAGGTCTCTGGGATATCTGGAGCATCTTCCTGGGGCCCACAGACGTGTGCCGTGTCTGGAGCTTCACCCTTGAAATCCGTTGAGGAGTTAGAATTGCTGGAACCTACACACTTTCTTTGTGGCGGGGAGGGGAAGGGGAGACGGCAAGTGATAGACATTTAACCGTGATGAGACGGGAAATGACGACGAGGTGGCGGCTGCTCGGAGGGGAAGGACATTCAGGAAAAGACCCGGTTCCCTGCGCCGCGTGCGTGAGGGAGCGGGGGCCGCCCGGGCGCTGAGGCCGCCGCGGTGGCAGGAGGGCTGACCTCATCAACACACGGCAGGGCCGCCTCCGGCCGACGTCGGTCTGATTTCCTTTATTCCCGTCCTCTCTCTCTCACACACACAGGCTCGCGGTAAGAATATAGGGTGACGTGTCGGTCTGGTGGGCGGGTTTCACTCGGGCAGCGCGGGGGCCAGGCTTCCCTCCCCGCACTCGGCGGGGCCGGCGGGGGCCCGCGGGGCGAGCTCCGGGCCCAGGGCGCTGTCCTCCCCGGCGTCCGCGGGGCTCTCGGGCTTCTCCCGGGCGCCGGGCTCAGAGAGGATGCCCTTGAGGGCCACGATCCGGTACCGCTTCCTGCGGTTCAGCTTGTAGATGCGAATCCGCTCCTTCTCGGCCTCGGGGTCGGCGAGGATGCCGTCCCAGCGCAGGCTCTCGTTGACCTTGCTGGAGGGTTTCTCCTCTGACCTGGCGAGGCCGGGGAGGCTGGCCGAGGAGGAGACGGAAGGGACGAGCTTGCCTGGCTCCCTGTCCTGCCTGTGCTCCGGCCTCGGGCCGTGATCCTTGCTGGGGCTCAGGGCCTCGTGGAGAGGGGACGTCAGCTGCTGGCTCTTCAGGCCCCGGCTCTGGTGTCTGTCTGCGGGGCAGAGGGGCAGGTTAGCGTGTGAGGTGGGGCCCGTCCGCCCGCTCAGGAGGGCGCCAACTCACCAGAGATCTAAGCGGGGGGGGGGGGGGGGGGGGGGGTGCAGGCCCCTCCTTATAGCGGGCTCAGTGGCCGCGCCCAGCAGCCTGGGACGCGCTCCACCGCTACGCGCTTTTATTGATGTCATCAATATAGTTTATTGATTTTTTTTTTACAGAGAGGAAGGGAGAGGGATAGAGAGTTAGAAACATCGATGAGAGAGAAACATCCACCAGCTGCCTCCTGCACACTCCCTACTGGGGATGTGCCCGCAACCAAGGTACATGCCCTTGATTGGGATCGAACCTGGGACCCTTCAGTCCGCAGGCCCATGCTCTATCCACTGAGCCAAAATGGTCAGGGCAGCTCTGTTTTCCAGGTGAGGAAGCAGACTCCAAAGTCTCAGTAACTTGCCAATGGTGTATACCCGGCAGCAGGTGGCAGGCCAGGGTGAGTGTGTGTGTGTGTGTGTATGAGAGTGTGTGTGTGTGAGTGTGTGTGTGAGTGTGTGTGTGAGAGTGTGTGTGTGTGTGTGTGTGTGTGAGAGAGAATGTGTGTGTTGTGTGTGAGTGTGTGTGTGTGTGAGAGAGTGTGTGTGTGTGAGTGTGTGTGTGTGAGAGTGTGTGTGTGTGAGTGTGTGTGTGTGAGAGTGTGTGTGAGTGTGTGTGTGAGAGTGTGTGTGTGTGTGTGTGAGAGAGAGAATGTGTGTGTTGTGTGTGAGTGTGTGTGTGTGTGTGTGCAGGGCCAGGGTTTTGAATGCAGGCTTGACTCCCATGCCCTGTTCTCTCCTGTGCTGGGCTGCCCCTCATTTCACCTCTCCACACGCTCTCCCGGATTCTTTCAGTCCTAGCCGCCTATGACTCTACCCCCGGTCTAGACTTCTTTATGATGGAGAAATGGAGAACAGGAAAACGTCCTCCATCTGACTGGGGAAAGCAGTATTATGCCAAGCCAGGAAATACTTCTGCCGTGTGGCTTGTACTGGCTTTTTTTTTTTTTTTTTTTTTACATTAATAAGCATTCCTGAATTATATAACACACACATAAGCTGTGGTTCTTCCATCAGCTTATTCTTCCTTTTGGTGGGAAGAGAAATATACCCCCCCTCCCCAACAAAAAAGAGAAACAAAAATAAGAAAAAAATACTCTTTTGGCACATCTATACCTTTCCACTCCCCCAAGACTGTTTGGTGTCCCCTGCTGACAGTATGAAGCTCACGCCACTGTAATTTCTAGGGTCGGAAGCTAAGCCAAAAAGACAGTAAATTTCCTAGTTTGGCTTTGCAGACACAGAACCAAATTAGGGCTTTTTGGCCTAACCTCCAGAATTGATTTCCTGCCTTTTTATTACAATTCCACCTGAGGAAGTAACTGTCATCTTCCTATCACTTCCTTCCCCAAACCTCCAGGCTGACACGGGGGAGGCTGCCATGCCTTCCGCCTCCGGCTCGCCAGGGGTGCCAGCTCTGCACACAGAGAACCAGGGCCCAGAACCCTGACCCACGACCGGCCACGCTAGAGGCCAGGGCTGCGGTGCCAGGGTCAGGGAGACCACAGGGGGACAGCGGAGACGGCATTTCGCATCAGTTATTCTCTCTCCACAGAATAGGTGCTCAGTGCCTTTGTCAAGAAATCAGGGGGTTCTCTGAGGAGAGTTGAGGGAGATGCAGGGATCCCGTGGGTTTGTGTGTGGATCTGACGTGTCCTTGAGAGAGACTGGAGTGAGACCTGCATGTATACAGTTGTGTGTGCACAGGAACTGCTTGGGAGGCGGTCTATGCATGTGCGTGTGAGACAGTATCTGTATGTGTGTGTGTGTGCTCTGTGACTGTGTGTTCCTGATGGGGTATCTGTGCTTCAGGTTTACTTGGTGGTTATACTGGCATAAAGGGGTGTTTGGGATTATAAAAGTATGTCGCAGTGACTGATGTGATGGTGAGTGTGCAGTTGAAGGCTGGCCTTGGTGGACAGGTGGTGGGGAGGACAGTCTATGCTGGGGAGATACTACCTCATCTGCATTAACTGGGTGTCTGTGTACCATCCAGGGGCCAGCTGCCCCTGAGGAATGAGGAGGCAAGGAGGGTCTCTAGACAGAAGGCAGAAGTCTGTGTTTCTGGGTGCGGGGAGCGTCCGCCTCTAGTGCCTTAGTGCCTTTGGCTTGGGGAAAGTCGGAGAAGATGAGGGGATCTCTGCAGGAGGGCTTGAGATTTCTGTGGGGAAGGTAGGGAGGTTTAGGGTTGCAATTCAGCCGAGGGTTTAGGAAGCTGGGAGGGTATCTGTACAGTTGAGGTGTTGTGTGGGGCTGGGAGACTGGGAATAATGCTGGGTATGGGTGTGTCTTTGTTTGGGGTCCAGTGTCTCCATGGATGCTGAGAATTCTCGGTGCAGGATGTGAGCTCTCTCTGCTCTTTGGGGCAGGGTTTCTGTGCACAGGGATGGTCTTTATTCGTATGAGCAGGGGAGAGGCATCGCGGTGCAGGAGGGCCTCTATCTGGGACTGGCGAGTATGTGTTTCTGGTCTGAACCGGTCCCCAGGCAGATGGGGGTCTCTGTGAGGGAGGCGGGTGGGTGACCTCAGGGAGGGAGGGGGCTAGGGGGAGACATCTCGGGCACAGGAGCTGAGGCTTCCGAGCCAGCTGTTCCTCTTACCGTCCCCCTTGCCCGATCCCTCCGTCTTTCTCTTCTTCTTTTTCTTCTTCCCCTTCCGTTTGGGCTCTGGGGCGCAGCTGGAGATGGGAGGCAGTCTGGACTCCTTCGGGCCGCCCTCCAGCTCCTCTTCCTCGTCCTCATCCTCCTCGCCGTACCGCGACGCCCTGGCCCCACGGAGGCCGTCCATCCGCCCCGGCAGGGCCGCCAACGGCGCGTGGGTCAGCCCTAGACCCGCCGCAGCCCAGCCCGCGGCTCCAGGCGCCGGCTGCCTGCCCAGGGCCACGCGTCTCCATGGCGACCGCCACACGGCGCGCGCGCGTGCGCAGTCTGGGAGCTTCGGCGGGCTGGGTGTGCGCCTGCGCGTGCGCGCGCGCGTGCGCGCCTCGGCCGGAGACCTGGGCACAGAGGGGGAGAGCGAGCGGGGCCGTAAACACCCCTTTTCCAATGCTGCTTGTCCTCGCCTCCGTGTCTGTCCTTCCGCGCCCCAGAGGTGAAAACAAACTTACCTCATCGTTCCCCGTCTCAGCGGAGAGAACGGCCGGGCGGACAGGCAGGCACTTGGCGGTCGGTGCTCCCCCGACCGCCTCCCCTGGGCCGGCGCGGACCCCAGTCTGGCGCTTGGACGTCTCCTCAGTGATCTTTACTTCCAGACCCTCTCCACAAACCCTTTATCTGCGCAGCTATCTTTAAAGGCGGACAATTTCACTCTCCCGCTGAAAATCCTCCGATGGGGCCCCCTCGCAGGTCATGCCAAGGTTGGGCTTCCGTGTGGCTCACAGAGGCTGGCGTGTCTCTCTCCGGGTTTGTTCACCACCGATGATGTGTCCCCCCAAATGGCTGTGATAATGTCTTTCCCCCACACACACGCTCTTCTAAAAGGCTGCCATTTCCACCTCAGGAAACAGCCTAGCTCCTCTCCCCTCTCATGGTGGTGGGGGTGGAGGGGTTGGCTCACTCCTGACTGGCAGTGTGTGGTGGAAGGGACACTGTGACTTCTCAGGCTAGGTCATAAGAGGTCATGCGGCATCTGCTTCATTATTGGGAGACTTGCTCCTGGGCGCCTGGGCCTCCAGGGAAGAGGTCTGGGCACCCCGAAGCAGCCAGAACCTCAGGAAGCCCCAACAGAACCCAGGGAGAGATGCCCCAGCTGCTGCAGACCCCAGGCCAGCCCTGCCCCAGGCCTTCCTGCATCCCTAACGCACAGGGATAGTAAGATGGTTGTTATTACGTAAGTTACTGCATTTTAGTGTGGTTGGTTGTGCAGCAATGGGTAACCAGACATCAGCCTTTGATTTTCGCCATCCTACTATGGATGAAGGTGTATTTCCCTGTGGTTTTAAGTGCTGTTTCCCTGATGACGAATGAGGTTGAGCATTTTTTAAAACCTGCTTATTGGCCATTTGAATATCGTGCTTTATAACGTGTCTGTGGAGGTCTTTTCCCATGTTGTAATTGGAATATGTATACTTTCATTGTTGATTTGTAAGAGCTCTTTATATGTCTTGGATATAAAATCCCTCCTCAGCTGCAAAGATCTTTTTTCCAGGTCTGCAGATTTTGGATTCATTTTCTTAATGGTGTCTTTTGATAAATTCTGATGAAGACACTTTTTTTCCTTTCTGTATCTTGTCCAAGGAAGTCTGTCCCTACTCCTACATCACAGAGATAGTCTTCATTTTTTTAATATATTTTATTGATTTTGTAACGAGAGGAAGAGAGAGATAGAGAATTAGAAACATCGATGAGAGTCATCGATCAGCTGCCTCTTGCACACCCCCTACTGGGGATATGCCTGCAACCAAGGTACATGCCCTTGACCGGAATCGAACCCGGGACCTTTCAGTCCGCAGGCCGACATTCTATCCACTGAGCCAAACCGGTTTCCGCTAGTTTTCATTTTCTTCAAGAATCTGTATAGTTCTGGGGTCTTAGGTCCATGATCCATCTCAAACTCATTTTGTGAATAAAGTCAAATAGGGGTCAAGATTTACCCCCCCCCCAAGGTGGGTTTCTAGTTGTTCTGGCAACTTTCATTAGAAAAACACCCCTTTCCCTATTTACTTACTTGCCACTTTTGTAGGAAATCAATTGATTGTATACGTGGGAATAATTTCTGGACTCGATTCTGTTTCCTCGATCTCTCTGTCTCTTCTTACACCAATACTGATAGGGGAAGGGCACATAACAGAAGCAGAATTATAGTTTAGTAGCAATTCACTAGAGCTACAGTAACTAGGGACAGCCGGCCCTCTGAATAATAAACAGCACCACGTTAGGAAAGAGGTTTGCAAGAAGAAACGGGGCTGTAAAGATAAAGCGGCCACAAAGTCCAGATGGGTCCAATACTCAGAAAAGAAGATACACTTACGTGCAAGTCAAGGACGGGACTCACTGAGGGGAGAGACAGTGTTCTGGGTAATCTCTGCAAGAATGACGATAGGGAATTCACTAGTTTTAGTCCCTCCCCCGCCCCCCGACCCTAACCCCATAGAAGGGCTGGTTTGAAATGAAATGTCAGAGGGATCTTTTCAGGGCATGGCACCTGTCCCTCCCTCAGATGGCTGGCCCTCTGAATAATAAACAGCACCACGAAGATTCACTTCCATCTCTACGGAATTGACTCTAGTAGCCATCAGCAGCGGGACTTTGTTCTGGTTCCAATACCACAACATCCTAGTTATTGTAGTTTTATAGTAAGCTTTCTTTTGTTTTAATCCTCACCCAAGGATATTGGGGGGGGGGGGAGAGGGAGAGAGGGAGGGATTGGTATGTTCCTCAACTGGGGATTGAACCTACAACCTGGGTATATGCCCTGAATGGTAATCAAACCCGAAACCTACATGGGATGCGATGCTCCAACCAACTGGGCCACACTGGCAAGGGCTATGAGGAGTCTCGATCTAAGGTAGTGTACGTTCTCCAACTTTGTCCAGTGTTTTGATTATTCTAGAGCACTGGCTTTTCCATATACATTTTCCAAAAAATCTTGTCTATTTCTTCAAAATACTCTGCTGGGATTTTTTTAAAAATATATTTTATTGATTTTTTTTTTTTTATAGAGAGGAGGAGAGAGGGATAGAGAGCTAGAAATGTTGATGAGAGAGAAACATCAACCAGCTGTCTCCTGTACACCCCCCACCGGGGATGTGCCCTCAACCAATGTACATGCCCTTGATTGGAATCGAACCCGGGACCCTTCAGTCCGCAGACCGACGCTCTACCACTGAGCCAAACAGGTTTCGGCTCTGCTGGGATTTTGACCGGGGTTCCATGAAATCTACCGAGTTTGGCCCTCTGATACTCAATGATTGCAGTCATTGGCACGGACCCAGGCACAGGCACGTGCGGACACATTGCTTTGTTCTATGTGTCCTCAGTCCTCTCATCTGTTCTGTGTGTCCTCAGTCCTCTCATCCACTAACGGTGGGAGGCAGTGAGACAGACATGAGCAGAGCAAGGACGATGGGCCAGTGCAGAAGGTCACCAGGGTGGAAAGCTCGGGTGCCTAGCAACGGATAGTCATAGGGTGGGACCTCGCCCCCAGGGCGACCTCTCCTCCCCTAGCATTTAGCCCGCCTGACCTTCCCTCCCTAGAGATCAGGGCCTCAGTTGTATTCGGGCTCCAGGCCCAGAAAAGCTGCAAAACCAGGCAAGCAGTGCCATGGATGCTGTCAGAACCAGCTGCACCGAATAAAGACCCCCTGCCCTGCTGCCATCACCTTCCCCCAGCACCTGCCCACCCTGCCAGGTGCAGCACCTTACCTTCCTCACTTCCTAAGCTCCAAGGGCCCTTCCTTTGCCTCTCTAACTTACTTACTGAGCCCATTTCTTCTACGAATTACTTCTCCTACCTCCGTGATTTTCTAAGTAAATGTTCTCCTATCGTTTAGGTCTTGGCTCTGAATTCTTTCCTCGCCAGAACCCAAGTGCCGAGGCGGCTGAACCCAGGTCTGGTCTGGCCCATTTGGTCTAACACAGTGGTTCTCACCCTTCCTAATGCCGCCACCCTTTAAGACGGTTCTTCCCGTTGTGGTGACCCCCAACCATAAAATTATTTGCGTTGCTACTTTATAATTTACGAATCGTAATGTAAATATCTGTGTTTTCCTATGGTCTTAGGCGACCCACAGGTTGAGAACCGCTAGCAGGGTCGCCTAAGACCATCAGAAAACACAGATATTTACATTATGATTCATAACAGTAGCAAAATTACGGTTATGAAGTAGCAACAAAAACAATTTTATGGCTGGGGGTCACCACAACATGAGGAACTGGATTAAAGGGTCGCGGCATTAGAAAGATTGAGAACAGCTGGTCTAACACCTGGTGAAATTCTCAACGCCCCCAAACTAATGTGCCAGCACAGTCCACACATAGCGAGTGCTTGGAAGCTGCCCTGGCTGCCTGCTTTTGTCCCTGGGAGCTAAGTGAAATGTAAAGGACAGAAGTCCTCCGTGCAGATAGCGCCTGCTGGTGAGATGTCCAGGGTTTGCTCTCCAGAGGCCCTGCCCCATCCATCCTGGTGCTCACAGACAGGTGCTGGCTGCCCCTGCCCCCACTGCCAAGAAAGGCTGGCCTGTCTCCCCTCTCAGCCAGGCCCCCTGGCCCGGAAACTCATCCGGCTGGAGGTGGTTTGACTATTTCTCTTCCCGATTTTAGTGAAGGTTGCATCGAGGCTATGCTGAGCTAGCCAGTCAGTATAGGAAGAGAAAATTCAGATCCCGTGAAGGAATAAAACCTCTTCAGGTAGAAGGAGATTGAGCAAGAATACCCCTAATTGGCAGATGAGGAAACAGACTGCAAAGCGACTTGCTCAACCTCTTAAGCCATTAGCCCCCCCCTTGGGCCTGGGAGCCACATCCCAGTTCTACAAACCCTGCCAGGCGAGCAGTCGACTTTACAGGGATGGTCATTGGCCAATGGGAAAGGGCATCATATTTTTTAAAAAATAAATCTTTATTGTTCAGATTATTACAATTGTGTCTCTCCCCCGCCCCCATCCCCATAGCTCCCCTCCACCTGGTCCCCACTCCAGAGAGCATCATATCTTCATTATTTGTTGCTCCTTCCTTGTTTAAGCTTCTCCTTATGATCTATCTAGTTCAGTGGTCGGCAAACCGCGGCCAACCATTGACCTAGACTAAATGTTACTATGTAGTTGGAAGCTGTGAGGATTAGGCAATTGTG